AGATTTAATAAATTTCATCAGAAGGACATTTTATTTACTAAATCCTTTTCAGCCTTTTCTAATGGACATTTTTGTTACTCAGGGGCATATTGTGCTTCATTAGTAGGAAAACCAGGAGATGCTGAGAACTACCTCAACAGATAATTTGAAAGTCGATTTAGAGTAGAAACCAGACAAAGTGCATCCTAATCGGATTATTTGCTGCAAACAGTTTGATATAATCTGATGACAGAGAATGCAGCTGGTAGATCTTGACATTAACCTATTCAACTGGACACATCTTTGTAATAATTTTATTAACATAATAGGATTTTTTTCCAGTTCTGTTTAAAAGACTCTTTTTTGTTCCATTATTTCGTATTTGAGATTGAGATTTGTAGTTTTGAATTTTTTCCTGGTATTAGATTTATATAATTTGGTCACTAGTTAGCCTAATCAGCTTCTTGACAAGTATCTCAAAATCAGTTTATCCAGAACAGAACTTATTTTTGTGCCTCAGTTTCCTCATATGTAACATTTGGGATAAAAACTGGGAATTAGGGTTAAAATACATAATGTGCTTAGTGCCTGGTGGTAAGTACTGTAAAAGCTGTTACTGCCTTTAAATGCTTAAAAGTCTTTAATGACTTCTTACCGGGTAAAACTCATGCTTCTTAATCTGTCACCCAAGATGTTCCACACACACTTTCAGGAGGAGGGTCACCCTGCCTTTTCAGACTCCCGTCTTGCTTCCCAGCACTCCTAACAGATACCCTGTTCTTTGTGTATTTGTTTCATTTTCCACATGCCCTGTGCCTTGTTTTCACGTCCAGATCTTTGTGTTGCTGTTAACTCTGTTTTGTAGGTGAAAAACGGAGGCTTAGAGACCTCAAGTGCTTGGTATGAGGCTATAAATGGAAAAGCTAGGCTATACCTAGATTGCTTTGGTTCCAAATGCTCTGGGCCTTTCCACCACCAGCCCCCTCTCTGTCTGCCCAGTTACTGATCAGCACGGACGGGTGCCTCTAGCAGGTGCTGTGCTGTACCTTTAGCTTTTCCCCACTTTTATTTGAGATCTTGCACATACAGAAAACATGTATAGAGAATTGCTTAATAAACACTCTTATCCCTAACACTCAGCTTAAGAAATAAAATATTGGAAATACGGTGGAAGCCCCTGTGGACCTGTGTTTTCTCCCCACTGAGTGAACTGTCCTATTTTGTTATCATTCCTATATGTGCTGTTATATAAGTAATTACAGTTTTACTTTATACTTAAAATGTTTTTAATAAGTAGTGCATGGTTCAAAATTCAAGGAGTGTAAATGGAAAAGTCTGTCCCTATCCTGTGTTCCAGCTAATCAGTTTTCTCCCCCACATGCAACTAAAATTATTCATTTTTTTAACATAACTTCTAGAAATGTAATACTCCAGAGTATGTAACAGAGATTTTAGATATACATAAGAAAATATACACATATTCGTTTATCCCCCTTTTAATATGTGATAGTATAATTGTTCACGCTGTTCCTCAAATTACTCTTTCACTTAGTTTTAGTTTTTCTTGGCAGTTGTTTCATTTTGGGGTGTTAAGATTATCCTCACTGTTTATTACAACTATGTAACACTGCATGGTGTGGATCAGTCAGAACTTCAGCTAGTTCCCCACGGATGGACATTTAGTTTGTTTCCAGTCAATATTTGTGCTACAAAAACAAAGTGGTGAGACATAGCCAATTAGCACCAGTAGATCTGTAGGGAAAATTTGAAACAGACTTGTAGGTCAAAGCAGTACTTTGCATAGATCCTGGCAAAGTTCTCTATTGAGATTAGTTTGCAAACCTTTAAAATTTATATAATTACAATAAATGGTTTCATATTTTGCATATCTTTTTGCAAATTATTTTTATTAATTTATCATGACACATAGGAGATTTTTCCTTATTGATAGAGCATTAGGTCATTTATTTTTATTTCCGTATAGTATTTCAGACATGAATATTGCACAATTTGTTTTCATTTCCCTTTCGATGGATAGTCACATCGTTGCCAGTATTTTGCTGTTGTAAACATGCTGCAGTGAGAAGTCCATATTAATCCTCGTATGCACATGTCCAAGATTCTCTGGGGAATATGTGCACACATACACAGTGTGCCAAAGAAATGTGCACACACTGTCAGAAAGGAAAAGGCACTGTTAAAATTGTAATACTCAGTCACTTTGGACTTCTGCTGTTAGAAGAGGTGCCCCAGTGTGACCTCATACTCATCTTTTTTTATCGGTATATATTGACTATTACAATTTTAATACAGTTTTTTCCTTTACAACGTGATCACATTTTTTGGCGTTGTGTGTGTATAATCGGTGGTGGATTACAGAGCGTGTTCTTTTTCTGCTTTAGGGGATATTTCCAAATTGCTTTCCAAAGTGGTTGCACTTCCCCAGCAGTGTTAAGTGCGTGCTCTTGTCCCATGTTTTTGCCAACTCTGGGTAATATCCAACTCTTAACATTTTTGTCCCCAATATACATGAAATGATTTCTCATTGCCATTTTAATTTGTATATCTCTGATAGTGGGCTTGAATATTTTTTCATATGAACATATAAAAATATTTTTTTCAGATAGGCTTTTTGAGTTTCCTTTTCCGTGAGCTGCCTCTTACCCCTTTCTTGTTTTCTCTTTTGGGTTGTCTGTCTTTATCCTCATGTTATAAGTGCTTTGGTAGGAGTGCTTTTGGGGCTTTTGGGGCTATACAGCCAACACTCTCCCTTGTGTAAAGAAGAGCATGTTGTTGAGTGTGACTGAACTGTGCCTGTTTGTTGTTCTTACAGGCACAGTGTCTTATAAACGTAAGTGGTGATGCGGTGGTCTTTGTTCGTGAATCTGACTTAGAAGTGGTATCAACTCAGCAGCCTACTGCCAACTTGCAGCCATCATGTACTGAAGGAGAAGTGACAACCTAAAGACAATTAGAAAGAGCTCAACCAAACGAGATTCATCTGTTTCCATTGTTTTGTCATTAATTACCTTTGTAGACTTAACATTGAACTTAATTTAAGATAATTAAGAATCGAGTAGATTTGATGTGTCTGGAGTCTCTTGGAGGCCTGAGAATCCTCTAATCTTGACACTTGACACTTGGTTTGCCTTGTCCAGAGAGACAGACCCTTGGAATCTTAACCCTTCAGTAAGTTGAGATAAATACCTAAGAGAACTATAGCAAAGATGGAAGCTGTTTATAATTTATGTTGATTTTAATAAAATCATAAAGATGAAATGGGAAGATTATCAGGAAAGTAGGATAGCTACCCTAGCTTAATTTATAAAAACTAAGCAGGAAATTCACAAGTTGTTAATTAGTAAGCAGCCTGATTTGAGAAATGTATAGGGAAAATGGAGAAACATTTTTAGAAAATTACTGTGTGGGTTTCTTAATGTGTTTTATTTTGATGGGGAATTCAGTAACAACTGGAAGGGAAAAGTGCTTCAGCCGTCATTTGAAAAGAAGTTACAATTCTGCAACTCTCATGCATACTACATGCAAGTACATAAAAGAAAAAGGGATTTATCATAGCCGGTGTCCTTTGATTGAAAGTTTTAAGATCTCTAAGGAGGGAGGAAAAAAATTAAACAGGCTACATTTGAGTTAGTATTGAATTTGTCTAGAAGAGGGTTGGCTTCAACTGGAAAGAAAATGTCAGTGAACTGTGTTGAAATAGTAAAAATACAACTGATCTGGTAGGAACAAAAAATTATTTTTTCATAAAATTACACTACTAAGTAAACAGAATTTTAGTAATCTTAGGGATTTTTGATGGTGACTTAGACTGTATTTGGCATAGAGTTTGAAAATGTAACTTGAATGTAAATATGCTGCAAAATGTTGAATGTATACATGGAAATGCTCTTTCTGTCAATGCCAAATGCCCATTGTAAATGAACCTTCCATACTATCTTCCTCCGGCACAGTACAGTTTCTTTATAAAACTCATGATTTTGTTCTCCCAGGACAACAGACTGCCCTCAAGATTAAAAATCATTTTCTTGTTACATACAGGTGTCAATATTTTTCTGTATTTTGTTTATAATTTTATTTTTTAAATAAAAAGTTTATAAACTGGAATATTGCTAAATCTTTTTGCCTCCGTGAACTAGTACTGTCAGTTTTCTGAATCACTGTCTGTCCAATTATCTCCATTCATTCTGTCAATCAACAGACATCTGTTGAACACCTATTGTGTACAAGGGTCTGGACTTGATTTTGAAGATGTGTAAGAAATTGTGGCACTTTTATTGTTTAGGGGTGGGTAGGTATTTGTTCAACTATTTATTGAATGCCTGATTGCAGGGCACAATTTTAGGCAGTAAACAAAATACACGTAAGTTCTTGCTTTCATAGAACTTGACAGTCTGTGGCTACATAAGTAAGTAATTTGTAAAATGTAGTATGTGGTATTTTAACAATTACTAATATTTGTCAGAGGCTTACTCTGCAAGTCAAAGATATTTTTGTATTAACTCTTTTAGTTCCTATTGAAACCGTCAGCATCATTTTATAGTTGAGTTAGCTGAGTAAGGAGTTTGGGTAAATTGCCCAAAGGTACAAACAGAGCCAAGATTCAAAGAGGCTGGCCCTAAAACTAAGAAGTGAGAAAAATGTGCATGTGGTTTGGAATGGAGGCGGCTTTATTTGAGCTCAGGAAAAAGAATTCACTGCAATTGACTATTTGTTCATAGGTTTTTTTTGTTGTTGTTTTGGCCGGGACTGGGTTTGAACCTGCCACCTCTGGCATATGGAGCCGTCGCCCTACCCTTTTGAGCCACAGGCACCGCCCTTGTTTATAGGTTTATTTATTCATCCACTCGAGCCTATTCATTTGTCTATCCAGCAACTACTTTGTGATTGCATAGTATGTTCCAGAGTCCATTCCAGGCAAAGAAAGAGAATGTAGCTATCACTAATTTAGTGTTTGTTTTGTGCTACGTCCTCTGGACTTAGGATAACTCATAAAACAAGTTGGACAACATTATCTCTGCTTTAGTGTGAACAATTGTATACTCATGGGAAACCCTGACTGATTTCTGTCAAAGTTGGAATCTCTGTAACCACAGGACTTGTGGCTTGTTTGCTCATATGCGTTGTCTTTAAGGCACAATCATCCCATGTCAAAATTGGCTCCTTCCAGAAGGACTAATGTTACCCTGTGCCCCAAAAGCTGTGGCTGTTGAATATGAATTTCCCCCAGAAACACGACCGGCTGAAATGAACATGTTGGGACTCAACCGTTTTGAAAATACTGAGACTGGTTGCAGTAGTTAGACACGCCTACCCTTCATTGCTGCTCCGAAGGTTAACCATGCAGTTTAAGCAAGAATTGGTTAGTTTGCTAAACTCACTGCCCCACTTCCCCCTCCTCCACTCTTCCATAAAACATTAGCATCTGGCTTCCATCTTCTGCTCAGCCCCTGAATTTGAACATGGCAAGCATGTAAGTATTGGATTGGAATACTGCAGTACTGGAGAGCTGGCAAAAGTTTTTTATACACATAGAATTTTCATAAATGCATAAATGGGATCATATGTACTATTTTTAAACAGAGTAGTTTTACTTTTTTTCCTGGCTTTCTCTTCTTTGCATCCCATCCCTTCCCATCCATATTAATACCTAATATGCTTGTAGACTTACATATTTTTTAAGCTGTTAGGTATAATTTACATTCAATTAAAATCATCTGTTTTAAAACGTACTGTTCCCGTTTTGACAAATCGCCATGTATTCAAGATAGAGAACATTTCCACCACCAGGAAAGTCCCTTTGTGAGCGTGTCATCAGCCTCCTTCCCCCTCCATGCTGATGGGGTCTGGTGCTTGGCAGCTCTCAGCATAATGCTTTCAAGATACATCCAGGCATGGGCAAACATCTCTGGCTAGTGTGAAAAATAGAGCTATTTTTCATTTTGAGTTTGCACTTTATTTGCAAAAATTGACATTTTTCTTTCTCTTTTTTTCAGGGTCCCTCAGCTCAAATGACCTTCCTTCCCCCTTGATGTTTTGGATATCTTGAAGGTTCATCAAATTCAGCACGTCCTGAATTACTCTCATCTTGGTGGCTCTCTGCCAAACTTGCTATCCTGCACTATTTCTTATTTTGATAAATGCCATCACCATTTTGCCAGTTTTAGTTTTGGTCAGACTTGGGAGACCCAAAGCCTACGCTCTTTCCACTATACCACCCAGCCTTAAGGAACAAGAGGCATAAACGTGGTAGCATAAACATTTGTGGTGCCTGGAAGCAAAATTTATTTGCAAATAAGTACTTTCGTAGGCCCCCAGGAGAGGGTCTTTTACTGAGTACTTTGAGTAACTGATCCAGCTCTGGACCTTCACCCTGATAAAAGTAAGCATACATACAAGCTTTTGCAAACTACTTCAGGAGCTGATTGAAATCGGGCTGATTGAGAAGCCACACTGAAATAAATGTTAGTGATGATTGGGTAAATGCTATTCTCAAGGATACAGTTGGGCTTTTTTTCTGGTAGGAAAGCCAAGGTATTATAACAACTTACACAGGCTGTCCCCAAAGTTTGTCATGCACAGAGGAAAATAAAGTGCCAACACAAGGAATATATAATAAAAGTATGTTTAGCTACAGTTTCCCATTAGCCCTAGGTACGGTGACTTTTGGAACACCCTGTATATATATTTAACTTCTCTCATGTTTTTGAAATTTTTTAACTGACAAAAACTTGTCTTTATGTAGCACGTACAACACGTCATTTTGAAATACATACACATCGTGGATTACTTCACTTCTTTGTGTTGAGACCCCTTAAAATCTACTCTCAATAATTTTCAAGAAAACACTACGGTATTAACTACCCACTACATTATTAGCAACAGTCACCACGTTGTACAATGGATCTCTTGAACTTACTGCTCCTAAGTGGAACCTTGTATCCACTGATCAACATCTCCCCAAGCCTCTGCCCCTAATAACCACCATCTACTCTACTTGCATGAGTCTGGCAGGTTAAGATTCCACATCTACTAAGTGAGATCATGTGGTCTTTGTCTTTCTGTGCTTGGCTTATTTCACTTACCACCCATGATGTCCAACATGGCAGGATTTCCTTCTTTTTAAAGGCTGAACGGTGTCTACCCCCTTGGGCACAGTACCACACTTCCTTCACCCACTCATTTATGGACACGTGGGTTGTTTCGGTATCTTGGCTATTGTGAAAAATGCTGCAATGAACATGACAGTGCGGATGTCTCTTACACACACTAATTGCATATTCTTTGGATATACACCCAGTAGTGGGATTGTTGGATCACATGGTAGTCCTATTTTTAATTTCTTGAGAAGCCTCCAGACTGTTTTCCATAACGGCTACTCATTTACATTCCCACCAACATCGTGCAAGGGGTCCCGTTCTTCCACCTCCTCCAACGAAGACTATATTTTTAAAAATAAAGAATAAAAATATAAAACATTTCCTCTTCTCTTTGAAAGTATGGTATCTGCATAAATCTTTTTTTAAAACATGTTAATTGGAGTTTTTTCTGAAAGGACTATTTAAATATTTTTTAAAAAACCTTGAAATATCTATGGTAGGCAGAATAATGGGCCCCTCCAAATGTCTGCATCCAAATCCCGGGTGAATATTACATGACATGACAAAAGGGACTTTGCAGGTGTGATCAAGGTTAAGAACCTTGAGATGGAGAAATTATCCTGGTTTACCTGGGAGAATAATCACATTAATCTTCAAACATGGAAAGGGTGGGGGAGCGAAGAGGTCAGAAAGGTCTATGTGAGGAGGATTTCATTTCATACACCGTGGCTGACTTTGAAGAGAGAAGATGGGAGCCACGCGCCAAAAAATGTGGGTGGCCGCTAGACTCCTGGAACAGCTCTCAGCTGACAGCCAGGAACGTACGGAGATCTTAGTCTACACCACAAGGAACTGGATTCTGCCAAAACTTGAATGAGCAAGGAAATGGAATAGAGCCTCACCCGCGTCTCTATTTTAGCCTGGGGAGCCCGCGTCAGTCCTGGCCTACTGAGTTGTAAGATATTAAATTCGTGTTGCCTGAGTCACTGACGTCGTGGTAATTTGTTATGATGACAATAGGAAACTAGGTAATGGTGCTACTTGGGGTGACAGCTAATAAAAAATTTTCACAAACTCGCGGTACACGTACAGCCATCTCTGTTTTACTTTTCTGGATAATTTTTGTCCACCCACCTGAGCAATTAGAAGAAGTGCAGAATCTCCTGTCGTTGAGCTCGTCTTCACTTCTGGAATTGTCCTGAAGGCCAGGGACTCCGCGCAGCCCCAGCGGGTTCATGAAGTTCAGGTGTCAGCGCGCGGAACCGCCTCGTTTCCTGCTGCATTTGTTTCTTGCTGTCACGTGGTGTCGCTGTTGGCAGACGTTCCAAGGAGCAGAACAGAGATGCTGCCCTCCTGCCGCGACGGTGCTCCGCACAGGATTCCCGGATTCTTAAGCTTTATTTTAGTCTTACATCTTCCGTGCTTACTGCAGCCGTGGACGTCAGCTCAGGTTTCGTTTCTAGTGGTCACGCCAGCCCACTTAGTTGTCATTCACAGCTGCCTCCCAAAGGACCAGGAAGCCACAGGGTCTCCTATCAAAACTGGTTCAGGGGTCTGCCCCTTCAGAGATCCTCCAATTCTCCCAGGAGGACGTGCCCTTACTCTCTAAAGGGAGCCATGTCGGGCAATTCCAAGGAATTCATACACAGCCTTATCAAGGGAGTTTAGCAATGTCAAGATGATTTTTCCGGACTGGTACCTCTCATTAGATCATTTAGAGCATAATTCCATTTTTCTTTTTTGAACTTTAAAGATCAGAACTATTTAGAGAAAGCAAAAAACCCACAACCCAAAGGATGATATTTTATATCTCAAGACATCTCCTCAGTACTAAGCCTACAGATTACAAATAATTGTCATAGAAGATATTTTTGGATAAATTTTGCATGTATTCAGCAGCAGGACATAAATCAATCTCTGTTTCTATTTTAACAGTGGTGGCAGGGTAGGGGAGTGGGAAAACCAGCTTTTTTGGATACCACTCTTTGGAAGAAGAGTAGA